ATTTTAATGCACTTCAAATGCAGGTGCACTTTTCTGTCGTTTAAAATATAAAACATTTTGAAATAACAAAATAACACATTTGCATCAAAAGGTGCAGGAATTGCGAGCATCTAATTCTTTCATAATACCGCTAGGGGCATCTACATAAGTAGCTTATGTTTATTTATTTTTTAGCCTTCTTTAGCATTAAACTTGTAACTTGAAACAACATTAATTGGCTAACCCAGAAAATCAGCAAGGGTGACCATAGAGATCGACCTTGAAGATAGCCCTCAGTACATCATCAAAGTCGACTCCGTGGTGTAACCAATTTCCATAATTTTTTAATGCGATTGAGCACACTGTGACTGTGACTGCCACCGGTGACTTCGAGCGATGACGAGGGCGCCAACAAAGTGAAAAATACGAGGAAGATGGAAAAAAACAAGACTGCCGCGGTTGAAAAGTCAAAGTCAAATGCAACACATAATACAATAAAACAATAAAGCTACAAGAAAACAACAACAGCAACGGCGACGGACGAACAATAATCGCAGAAAGGAAAACAAGTTTTCACTTTTATATATTTTTTTTTGTTTTTAGTTACTCGGGTTTCCAAACGCGATTCAATTGCACTACGTTGCTGTGTTGGTTCGGTCGCTTGTTGCTTTTGTTGGTTGTCGCTTGGGCAAATTGTGGCCATAATGATGAATTGCATAAGCCGGAATCGTAATTGCAATCAGTGACTACAACCGCCTCAGTTGCTCATCCGCTTTTGGTCATACAGTCCAACTTGCCAAAGACCGATCATCTTGTAGATCAAACATTCGATAACCATAGTTCTGATATTTATACTATATTTGAATAGATTTATTTGTATTTTTCTTGATTATTTCACAGACAGGCTTTAAATTATTTATATAATATTATTAACCTTTAAAACTACTGCAAACTCTCTCTATATTCTAAAATTTTTCAAAAATCTTCTTAACAAGATTCAAGTCAGACGAATGGTGGTTCCAGTTAGCTAAGTTGGCCTGTGATTGACACTCTTATAGATCGAGCCAAAACCTGTTCCCACTCTCCCTATCTTTCTCCGCAGATCTGTGCAGGAGTTGGGATATCTTTTGGAGGAGCCAGAGCCTGCTTATCAAGCTCGCGATTTTCGCGCGTTTAATAGTCTCCAAACAAAAAACATGACCATATAAGGAGTCGCATGGCAACCCAAACAAACCAACAAAACATTCACAAATGACTATTTTCAGCAACAAAATGTGCGATGATTACGTATCAAGCTCATGGCCTCCGCCGCCCCTCCTTATTTGCACCCGCGCGTCGTACATTTATATATTGCCCCTCCCCTGATAGTCAAAAAAAAAAAAACTTTTCATTCATTCACCCAGCGCCTACATATTCCCTATACAATATGGATCCATGCACTGATCCATGGCGGCGGGGTTTGTTTTTCTCCAAGAAAAGTAAACATTGGTCACCTTAAGTGTATAGCAATAAGTATGTACTTGTATATACATTTACAAGGTAAACCAAGTGATGTTAGCTTGGGGTTTACCTTTAAATGGGTTATCATCTATAGTGAAATATACTAGAAGAAAATTTCACATTATTATCTTGAAATTTCTTAAGATATTCATGTTGAACTGTAATCGTATTGCAGGTTATAAATAATAATATAATTTATTACTAATACTTCATTGATACATAACACAAATTCTCAATGTTATAAAGTAATTGAACAATTTATGTAGAGTAAAGTAATGTCGGCTTTAACCCACTTCCCCCCTATTCTTTTTCACTTTGATTGCTCGGCTGTGTGGCCTTGCTGCCTATTTTTTTTTTTTTGCAAATCTAATCCAAATGGGAAGCGAATTCCAGAAATGGAAGTGTTTTTTCAATTGGCATTTACATAAGTATGTAGGCTTTCTAGTTGACCTAATCGTTATTTGAGCAAACAAATGTAAAGCGCAATTTCGAACACAAAAAAAAAAAAAAACAATTAAAACAATTAAGCTTCTACAAAAGCGATAAATTAGAAGCTTGTATGTTTTTTGCAGAGATTGTGCATGGCAATGAATTAAATGAATTGTATTGTTTAGTACACTTATTCTGATTGCCGTATCAGTAAGATGTTTTGTGCGCAGAAATTTAAACCTCTTTCAGTAGACATCTGCTCAAATTTTAAATATTAAACATCTGCTTCATTTGGGATTTGCGGAGCATGCAAAAATGCTCACTTCATTGCAAATTTTGATGTGTCAGGGGTTTAAGAGTGGTCCATCAATCAAGCCAAGATTAATAGCATGCAATCGCGGTTAATATTTTTGGTTTTCTTTTGTGTCTGAGCTCATCAGTGACAATTTATCAATCATTAACCCAACCCAAATGGGCAGCCATGTGACGAGGATGAGGGTTAATAGCTCGAAGAGGACAAAAAATAACCACTAATTAGAAATTTATAGATAAAAATCAAGTGAAATATGAAGCGTGTAAAAATCAAGTGCACAGAAAACAAATTAGATGTTTTACATTTAATTTCATAATTAGAAGAGAAGATTTATGAAATGTGTTTCCGTTACGTTAATGTTGGATGGTGTGTTGTACTATTCACTTATTTTTTGTTGATATCTTTATTTATTTTAATGGGAACTTAACATTTTTCGTGTAGTTTTACAAGTTTTAACAAGACTTTAATTTTATTTAGGATTAATACAGATATTTTTTCAGTGCATTCACAAATAAGCATATGAGTGGAGCAAGCCCGAAAAACAAGCGAGGGTGTGGGGGATAAAGAGAGGAGAGAAGGCCAGAAAAAGGGCTCTGGATCCCAATCCCCAACACTTTCTAAGAGAGTGAGAGAGAACCAGTGGGCATGCTAATCACGCACACCGCAATACAACAACACAATAACAACACAAAGGCGAAAAGAACGGGAAACAAACACAGCAGCGAAACAAAAACCCAATTCGATTTCGGCCTGCTGAAGTTTCCTCGGCGCCTGTTCAAATAAGTTTCAAATTTTGACAAATAAAACCATGGTTTTGTAATTTACGATTTACGAGCGCGCTATTTTCATAATGATTGAGCCTGGGAGTCGTTGAGTTGAGTGGAGTGCTTGCAGTTAGGTCTCGTTTCCCAGAGGGGAACATGCAAAAGGACCTTTATACATACGGCTCTCTTTTACATATTTGTTCTTCTTCTCTGTCTGTCCCACAGCCTCAGAGGCCGTGCAATAAAACGGGATTATATACGAGGGTTTTTGGTGTCTACTGTTTTGTTTGTGTACACCACCGATACAGTAGAACCTCTCTGTAAATAAACATTGAATTTAAGTATACGAATTAAAATTGTAGCGCCAAAGCTGATCAAGTATTTTTTATACAAGTATTAAAAAGTCCATCGTACATATGTATCTAAGACACAAATATCTCTTACTTTGTTTTATAATTGTCCCACCTATAACATTGATCACCGAGATTCTACTGTACTTAGAGGACCCTTTTTTAACCAGTTGCTAAGGGGCCATGGGGTTGATTACTTTGGGTGCAAGCTTGTTGCAGCGGATGGAGCAGGGAGCAGTGGTTGGCTGTTGGTGCCTAAAGAAGCTGCAACGACGGACGGAATGTGTCTAGACGTTTGATTACCGGGCAGACGCAAACGCAGACGCAGATGCCGCGAGGTCGCGGCACAGTGGACCTGAGGCGACATTTAAGCGTGGCTCTCTAATCGTAATTGCCCCCGATTATTTATGTCACTCTATTGGTTTTCTGGGCTTGGCCTGACTAAAGCTGACACAAAGTGTTTGCTTATCAGCGCCGTCTTCGGTCCCAGACGGTCATGTCTTCGACATCTTGTCATCGATGACACAGTGGTGTGAAGCAGATAATGGGATAAGTGCGAAAATGGCTGGGTAATTAGGCTGGGAATTTATGGCAGCGGGTTCGATGAAGATTAGGTAGTTCCAAGGAGAACCCAATTATTGCGGCTTGGGAGTGCCGGCAGTTTGCTCTATATTTTCACCCTTAACGGTTAATCAACAAGTATTTATGAAAATTATATAAACGATGTTATACTACTACAAAAAAAAAATTATTTACAAAATAAGGATATCTAAAGAGGTAAATTTCTAGCTACTTATCAGTTAATATCCTATATCCGGTTTATTTCTAGCAGAGATGGAATTACTACAAAAGAAGGATCGATTGTCTGTAGAAAATCCGGTTTTACGGATCACGTCATCAATCCGGTTATGAAACCAGGTTCTTCTGGCTTGAATGCCTAAATCGCATTCCTGAATTCGCCACATGCCATTTGAGTTTTAGGTTCTCGATTCTCAAGGTAACCCGATGCTACCCCGATTCCCGTGACAGGAAAGAAGGCACGTAATCTTGTTCGGGGTTGTTGGCAATCGGAATCGGTACCTTTTCTTCTACCTGACTTACTTTCAACATTAGCGCTTATTTTTCAATCGTCTTTTTTTCCACATTTCGTCACAGTGCATTAATCAGCATTACTACCCTTTGTTTTAATAATGCGCATTTCAAATACTACATTTCCTCATGGATTATATTGTATAAAAAAAGCTCAATTTATCACATAATACCACTGTATTGTGCATTAAAACTAAGGGTTCTCTGAAAAGATCCAACTTTGTTTAAATAAAAATAAATTACAGAATATATGAATAACCCGTTGGCCTTTTAATTTTTCACTCAAGGATTCCAAGCAAGAAGTGAAAACGATATGACAACCACTGTGCCCCATAAAAATCAAGGACTCCTCGGGCTGTCTGAGTGAACTGTCGATGGTTAAACTCTGAGTTTTTTCATCTATATTTTTGCGGGTTACTTTTTTGCCAAAGGTCAAATCAAAGCGAATGAGCCTTTGAAACGGGGGCCTTGACTTTTGCACTTTTGCCAAATGTTTGCTGGAGGACATTGAGCAAACGGGCGAAGGACACATGCGAGAGAAGAGGCAGCAAATAATGTTCGAAATCTGAAACTCACCACGAATGCCTCAAGTGTCGTCCTGCTCGGCTGGCTGTGCGTGGGAGCGGGCGGTGGTGGTAGATAAACAGGAATTTCAGCCTCTCGATGTTTTGATTTTTTCTTGTCTCTCCTGTCTCTGTCCCTCTCGCTCAGCTGCTTCTGCTTTGTTGTTGTTGTTTTCGTTTTTGTTTATGTGTGCAATCCTTTTGTTTCTTTGGCTTTTGGCGCGCAATTTTCTTGTTTCTTGCTCTTTGTTGTTATTGTTGTTCCGCTAGTTTGCAATGCAATTTTTCAACACACGCGAGACCGTTTTGTTATTGTTGCGTTGTGATTGCGGTTATTGTTGTTATTTCTTTTGCAATTTTGTATTTTCCAATTTGCATTTCACGTTTTTTTTCGTTTTTCGCAGCAGCTTCGACGACTTTGACTTTGTTGCCACACACACACACACTCAGCAAGGCACACACAGACACGACGAAACCCGAAACAACAACAAAACAATTGCGAGGAAGCTGCGGCGTCTTTTCTTTATTTTGGTTTTTGTTGTGATTTTTCTCAAGATTGCAATGCCGATTTTACTGCCTAGATTTATGGCCCTTTTACGGTCTTGATTGCAATTTCTTTTTGCATCTGAGCGGAAATTGTGATTGTCTTAAAAGGAAATCATAACATTTGTTTACAAATCAATCGTTTAGCATTTCGTGTTATTTTCCTCGATGATTTTCCGTTTTCCTTTTTGTTTTTTGTATACGCGAAATTAAACTTCACTAATTTATGGTACCATTATTAAATATCTTTACACTGCGCAAAAGTTTTTAAGCATAACTCACGCCAAAAGGTGGAAGCGGAGCGGGCGATTGGCAACGCGAGTGACGTATAGACCGCAATTTTTCAATTTTTCCGCGGTGGAGCGCTACGATGTGACGTCATGGACCGCTAAAAACAATGTAAAAAGCATTGCACATTGGTATTAACTTTATATACCACTTTGAACGAACAGTGTTACCAGTCCTTACCCCATTCCAAATCCCAAATCGAATCTGGTCACCCTGATGAGAGTAACAGAAATTTCCGATTGGAATTGCCCAGAGTGAGAGCGTAACAGAATTTTCTGTTAAAATGAGAGCGTAACAGATTTTGCTTATGGAATTCCCAAATTGAGAGGGCTTTTAACAGAATGAATCTAGAGAGCAACAGAATGTTCTCAAAAACCCGAACGCTGCTTCGGCGATGTCATTCCCGCTTTTTTCCCGTCAAATTCGGCTTCTTTTTAGCAGTTTATTTTGGATAATCCAGGTTTTTTTTGTCAGAAAAAAAGCCGAAAGTCCGGGCTTCCCTAAACAGTGATGGCAGCTCCGCTTTTTTCCCGTTGCCTTGGCTATATTCGACATGTGATTGCCGGGAAAATTTGAAAATAGCGTGTAGCAGGAATTCTAGGTTTATTTTAGAAAATTTTATTTATTTTTGTAATATTTTATTTTCACATCTGAAATGTTTTTTTTTTTAATTGAGTTTGACATTTAAAATTTTATTTTGGCGGAATTCTGCCTTTTCCCCCATATTGACTATATCCCTTAATAAGATTACAAAGTACACCAAATACCATTTCACTATTTATTACCCTTTTAATAATCCCAATTACCCCATAATACCGAGCGAAGAGGAAAAAACTATTTCGTTTTCTGGCATGGTCACAAGTTTGCCGACTGTTAAATTGTATTTCAAAAGTTCATTAAAATTTGTATGAAATATTGATTTTACATTTAATTAATCAATTATTTTCCGTTTAGTATATTATATGTAGATGTAAGCATGATAACTTGCTGCAAAGGGAGCTTCTACATTCCGCCGCAAAGGCCGAATTCCATGGGCTGCTGGTGGTGCTGCTGCCGTCGCAGAGTTGGCTGTGGTTGTTGTTGTTGTTTTTGGGGGTGAGGTGACGTTAGGCGCTGTAAAATGCTACATTTGAGGAAAGAAATCAAATCAGGTTATATATATATGTATATATGTGGAAATATATATGTGCTATATATATATGGATCAACAACAAAGAGGAAAAACAAAGGAGGAAAAAGTTTTTGAAGTCTAAAAGAAATTCCAAATGGATCAAACAACGTATTCGGAAATATTCAAATTGAAGTGCGTTCGTTCGTTCACTTCAAGTTGAACATTACAACGTCGTTAAGTTTTGAGAACGCAATAACGCTCGAAGAGATTGAAAAGTTTTGGAGGATCCTAAAGGAGTTTAATTGTTACTGCTGTTGTTGTTGGATTGCTGATGTTCGATTTTTGAGAGTTATATTTTCAACGTTTATTAGCCCAAACTCAAGCCACTGCCTCCGCCTCAGCCTCAGCCTAGTAACGTCGACGATCGCGATCGCGACTGCGCGAACGTCGCCGTTCGTTTGAACGATTGCGGCGCGTATCGCGTTGACGCTCGCGATCCTTCCCACGCTCCTTCTGCCGATCCTCCCGCTCCTTCATGCGCTGCTTGTGCTCCTCGATGCGTTTCTGACGGAATGCCTCCTTTTCTGCAATCTGCAATGAGATAAAATATAGTTCAATCGTGTCGTTGGCATATAATTTTTGACCAGCTTTAGCAGCGTTTCCACAGCGACGATGTAAACAACGCTTTTAGTAAGAACTTACCGCTTCCGGCGTCAGTGGCAGCCAATAGATGCAGGGTGTTCCTTTAGTCTTGCGGAATAGATCATCCAATAGCCTAATGGGCGGCTCATTGTCCTTCTTTTTATTTTTGGCCACTTGATAAAATAAATAAATATATAGATAATGCTCTGGGGACTTACTTCTCCCGCTGAAACTCACCCGGTGATCCGCTGCGGCTGCGACCAGGTACATTGCGATCGCCTCCAACAATTCGCTCTCGCTCGCGACCTGCACGCACCTCCCTGTCCCTAGAGCGTTTGCGATCCTGTCCGGCACGTTCCGCGTCCCGAGATCTTGGTTCCGGACGATCCTTGCTACCGCCTCGACGACGATCGTTATTGGCCTTGTTATCGTGGTCGGTCGGCTCCTTCTTACCCACATCCCATTCGCGTACTGGGCGCACAGGCTGTTCGGTAATAATAGTAATGATTATCTGAGAATCCTACATCTCCGAGTTATGCATTCTCACCTTTTTGTCAGTCGCATCCAATCGGGACCAAGTATTGCCCGACTGCTGATTATCCCTGGTGTTCTCCTGTCCATACCTGGGCGCTTCGTCCTTGGTTGATTGTATCGCCCGGTCCATGTCCGTACGACTGCCAAAGTCAACGTTCAAGCACTTTGGATTAGACACAGGCCATCGCACTCCATGAAGAGCATGGCGAGTTTCAATAGCCTCGCTGCAATGATCAAAAGTAATTATTTGTTAAGGTTGGAAAAGGTTTAATGATTTAGAACACTTACTCTTCTGTGGAATAGGCAACGAAGCACTTGGATTTAATGCGATCTATCCAAAAACCATCCTCATCGACAATCTTGCCTGTCCGGGCCAGCAGTCCCTTCAACTGCAGCACTGTGAAGGGTCGCACTAGATTGGTGATGTAGAGCACGTGGCTGGCTCGGTTGCGGGCTGGACTAGGAGAGCGGACTACGTGAGGAGCTGGTGTAGCGACGGTGGCCTTGCCCTGCGTCTTCACCGAGTCAGCGGTAGCTGGCGGGGAAGTTGTCCGAACGGTGGCTGCTCCTGCACTCTCCTTGTCCGCCGCCGACGACGACTCTGCGCCTGTGTCGCCAACGTTGTTATCGTTGTCACACTCCCGATCCTTGCGAGCCTCGGAATTTGACCTAGTGGGCGATGCGGAGCGCTCGGAGTCGCGGTCGCTGGTGACGAGGCCCTCCTCCTCCGAGGAAGAGTCTAATTGCACGTCGCTCAGAGGCACCGGCTGAACAACATCGTCGATGATATTCTTTAGCGAATCAGTCGAAATAGCCAGCACTGGTGGAGCACGATCGGATGACTTCTTGTTCGTCAGCCATCGGCGCTTCTTCACCGAGCGCTGCTGCTGAAGCACCCCTCCCGGAGCTGTGCTTGTTGTGGTAATGGTGGTGGTGCTGTTGCTAGTGGTGTTATTGATCGCAGATGAATCGTGGTTGTCCTTTTGAAGATCTGTGTCTTCGTTCTGAGTTTGTTCTGGCTTATCCTCTGGCTGCTTCCGGTTCTCCTTTTGCTCCTCCTCCTCTCCATCTTCCTCATCATGCTCTTTGGCAGGGCTTCTCTCGCGCTCCGGCTTTTGATCCTTGTGTTTCTTCTTCGAATCCCTACGCTCCGATCGCTGAGAGCCAGCTGGGCAGCTGGCCGGGGCTTCTTCGTCCCTTTCTTCGACGTCTTCTATCTGAATGTCTAATACATCGCTTGACGTTTTTAGTTGTTCCTCATCCTTACTGGCCGTTAGGCTACCTGAAGGAGAAGGAACTTTTACCTCTTCAATCTGCTCGACCTTGCAGTTCTCATCATCCTCATCGGCAGCATCCTTCTGTGGCTGGCCTTCTTCCTCCTTGCCATCTTCCTTATCCTCGGCTGCTATTGGCTCGGGCTTGGCTTCCTCTACAGGGGCCTCCTGCTCGTTGTTGGCGGCTTCATTAGTGGCCGATACGGTAATAGCTTCGGCTTCCGGCCTGCTGTCTTTGCTGTCCGCCTCCTTTTCCTTTCCAGCGTTATTGCTACCCACATCCTGGCCATTCTCGGCTTCCTCCTCAGGTATGGTTTCCACCTTCTTCTCGCCGCTCTTGGCCTCCGTCCGTTTCTTGGGCGTAGCGCGGCTGCCGCGGCCCTTGCGCACCGGTGAGCCGACGGGCTCCTCGCTCGACGCGCGAGGCTCATTGATTTCTTCGCGAGAGGCGGTGGCAGATGGCGGCTCCGGCGTGTCGACCTCCTTTTGGACAAGAGCCTCGTCCTCGGTCTTCTCGCTCTCGGACACCTTGCGGGAGCGGCGACTACGCCGTGCCGGCACCGGGGCGGGCGACGACGACTTTTTTCGCTCGCTGCGCCGTCTCATGGCTGAGAAAATCGCAGAGCAACACTGGAAAGATCTGAAACAAAATGCACGTCAACTCGTGGTAGACGCCGGCGACCCGACAGCTATCTCATGCACTGCGACCTGGGTCCACTTTTGTTGCTGCGAAAGCACCTTGGGCTCGAAAAGAAAATTTATTTTGCCAGGAAAAGAGCGTCAAAATCCGCCATCAATATGAAGGGTTGCTCCGGACGGTTGGTGGTGGTGGACTATCGCGAGGGGAGTATCGATATATCTATCGATGTATTAGGATTTTGGAAATTCAAAAGGAATTGGCAAAACGTCTAATAATTAACAATAGCATAAACAATATTTTTATTATAAATTTATTATAAACATATTATTAAATTTGTAATATTTTAATTTGTTATATTACTCATTTCTACGCCGAGAAGTAAAACCATTTATTTTGCAATCGATATCCATTATTAACACGCTTTGCAACACTGCGAATTTCATAAGTCGCAACTGCAACTGCAAAGCAAAACATTTAAAAAGGCTTGGGCTAAAAATGAATTAAGCTCATCAACTATGATTGTGAAAAATATTTGGAAATTGACCCAGGCAATGGGCAGGTTCCGCCCGTTGGCTGCTGCAAAGCCTCTGGAATACTGTCACCCAGCGCCACCGCAGAGAGGCAGTTTCCGCCAACGGACAGAATGTCCCGGATCGCTGTGCGCCTATGTGGATCATCCGATAGCAGCGCCAGCTTCCCAAGGATATGGCTCATCCGGAGATATGATCTGGGCATTCACGGCAGCCTTTACCCTGAATTTGTTCGGCGGCGGCGACGAGAAGGAGGAAACGCCGGAGGACAAGTTGGTGACAACGATCAAGCGATCGATCCTGTGCATCCAGCGGGAGCAGTACGACCGAGCCGAGCAAATGCTCCACCTGGCCCTGCGAATGGCCCAGGATATACAGAGCAAGGAGGGCGTTACTTATGTGTACGACGTCATGGCCAACCTGGCCATGGAACGGGAGCAGTTCAAGAAGGCGGAGAAGATCTTCACTGACGTGATGAAGCGACTCTTTGCGGATGGCCACACCGAGGAGAGTCCGAAGGTGGGTTAATCATGAAAACTATTGCCGTAACTCTGATTTCTTGTAACGTTCCCAGATCCTGCACATCAGCTCCAAAATAGCCCACATGTCCCAGCTGCAGGGTGACCTGGAGAAGAGCTTTCAGGGATTCACTTGGACGCTGCAGCAGCTGGCAAAGCTTCTGGAGAAAATGCCCGACGACAAGGACATACAGGAGCTGTATGGCTTGACAAAGAATTGGTAATGAAGGTGTTTCTATTGTGACGGCCCCGGTTATCCAACTAACAACCGAATGCGATCCTCCTCCTTGCAGGTTTGGCCAGCTACTCATGAAGCAGGGCAAGTATATGGAGGCTAGGAAGCTCTTCCAAGAGGCTTATGACGCTCTAGTTGATGTTTACGGCGCCGTCAATGAGGCTTCAATCACCATCCTGAACAATATCAGCGTGGCGTACGTGAATGTGGGTCTTCGTGTTCATTCCGAAAATTGTTATATTAATCAGTCTTGCCTCTTCCAGGTGGAGAAGTATACAGAGGCCCGCGAGATCCTTTTGCAGGCCATCGAACTGGCGAAAGAGCTGAAGGACGTGGCCCAGGAGGGCATTCTTCAGGCCAATCTTGGCCTGGTGTATCTGCGCGAAGGTCTCACGCAGCAGGCGGACAGCGCCTGCCGTCTGGCCTGGAAAATGGGCAAGAAGCACAAGAATCCCGATGCCATCGAGCAGGCCGAGTATTGCCTTGACGAGATCAAGGCCACCCTTAATGGAGAGAAGCGTTCGTGAAATAGCTTCCACACTGTATTGTTTCGACTATTTAAAAACATTTAATTACAAAGTAAAGTGCAAATGTTGACGGCTTAACAACTAATGCCAGCATGATTCCATTTCGACAAGTAAGTTTCCTCCGATCCTTGCGAACTGGGAGAATGTAAAGGTTGTTTCAAGGCATCGCAGAAGGGAGAATCTGAAGACCTGCTTAACATTTTTAAGTTTGTTTTGGAGGAACCACGCTCTACTCGAACTTGGCAATGACAATCATCAGGGCCACGCCGGTGAGCAGGGCGAATATCTCCTTCAGCGACTGCTTCAGCTTCGTGGACTCCTCCAGCAGCTCCGGCAGGACACTGACTGTGGCTATGTAAATGAAACCACCGGCTGTGAAGGGCAGCACCCAAGGCGCCGAACCGTCACCGCTGCCGGCTCCCAAAAGTGCCAGCGCTGTGCCCGCAATCGCACCAAGGGCTGTGACCAGCTGCAGCAGCATCGCCTTGCGCCGCGAGCAGCCCGACTTGATCAGGATGGCGAAATCGCCAATCTCGTGCGGCACCTCGTGCAGCAGGATGGTGATGGTGGTCACAATACCAATGCTATTGCCAGCCAAGTAGGAGGCACCGATGGCCAGGCCGTCGGTGAAGTTGTGGGCAAAGTCGGCGGCCAGGTTCAAGTAGCCAGAGATCTCCACTTCGCCCTCGGGCTCGGCTTCCTGTTTCTTGGCCTTTGGCTTGCTGCTGGTCTGCTTGGCAGCCGCTTTATCCCCATCCCCGCCGTCCTTGTTCGCCTTCTTGTTAACGGGCACTGGATTGGGCTTCGGAGAACCGTGGCTGTGCCCATGTCCTCCCTGGCCTCCCTTTAGGATGCGCACTAGTTTCTCCACGGACAAGAAGGCAATAATGCCGCCCAGCACCCACAGGCCGACGCTCATGTCGTGACTGTGCGCGTGTCCATGCTCCTCTTCTCCGTGATGATGATCATGTCCGTGATCGTGATCATGGTCGTGCTCTCCGTGGCTGTGCGGGTGCGTGGCATGTGGAATCAAGTGCAGGAAGGCATCGCCCAGCAAGCCGCCGGAGGCAAACGCCAGCAGAACCTTGAGGCGCGGTTTCATCGCCTCGCTGTTGTCGAGCGGAATGATGTAAAGCAGAACGAAGGGCGCGGCGCTGATAAGCAGAGTGGATCCAATCGAGTGCAGCCAAATGGTGCCCATATCTGTGAAAAGTCCGAGTCAGTTAAGACATCTTCTGGGCCAAACAGGTGTCTGTAAGTCTTTCTTACCCAATGCCGGCTTTGCATGGCGCTCTTCGCGGTGATGATGATGATGTCCATGGTCGTGGTCGTTATCATGATGATGATCGTGATGATGATGATCATGATCGTGATGATGATCGTGGTCATGATGATCGTGCACTGCCGGCGGAGCCTTCTTTGGATCAAAGTTTTCATTGGCTTCCCGCGAGTATTTGAAACTGGGATTGCCCTGGCCGGCGCATAATGCCGGCAGGGAGAGGAGCACGATTCCCAGGATAATGCCCAGGGCCAGCTTCTGGTAGAAGTGCAGCTTGCTGCCCGGGAAATCATCCACTTGTTTGGCCATTTTGACTTAATCGCTCTCGATGCGTGGGACTGCGGCAAAAGTGTTGTGACGTGTGTGTTTTTTTTCTTGCTGCGTACTGCAGTTATCGATAGCCGATGACTGCCTGTCGATTGCTCGTGGGTCAATGACAGTTCAAAAAGTTTTACGTATTTTTTAATATTTAATTTATTTCAAAAAAGGAAGCTAACTTTGGTAGGTCTAAGTTTGTATACTATAGAATATATATTTATACGTAACATAAAATAATTTGTTCTTTAGAAAACTTCAAAACCATTATTTTTAAGTCGTGTAAAATAACTATATTTTAAAACTTTGTAATTTCTATCATAATATAAATTATAAATATATTGGCTGAAAAATAACAAAATAATTTCAACATTCATTAATTGACCTATTAAATATTGCATTTACAGTTTTATATTCACAGCTTCAGATTTTTCTCTATATATACCGATCGTTACTGTGGCAGCTACATTATATTTATATAAATTATATACATTAAAACCGAAATTCTCTAATAATACAAAATGGCTTTATCTCAAAGTAAAAAAACAATTAAAATATATCATAACTAAGCCAAAAATGCATTAATTTCGATTCGGAAAGCAGTTTTGTGTTAGTTTTAACTAATTTAAAAAAACTGCATACCAAATTTAAAATTTTAAGAAATCAAAATTTTGGGCCATTTTTGCTAATTTTAATGATGTAACCCCTTATCAAATTTCGCAAAAATGGCCAAAAAATCAATTTCTTCCGGACATGTCTAGAAAGATTCCCCTGTTGATGCTGATCAAGAATATATATGGTTTATAGGGTCGGAAATGATTCATTGACTTAGAAAAATATTATTTTGTATTATAAAATCGGATTTTTTATATTAAAAAACTTCTTATTTTTTTTTAAACTAAAAATATTATAACTCGGCCAAAAGAGCATTAATTTTAAATCGGAAAACTGTTCTGTGCAAGATTTTCTACAGTTAATAAATCTGCATACTTCATTGAAAAATTTTGAAAATTCAATTTTTTATCAAAATCAAAAATTTTAATGATGTAACCCCCTTATCAAATTTCGCAAAAATGGCCAAAAAATCAATTTCTTCCGGACATGTCTAGAAAGATTCGCATGTTAATGCTGATCAAGAATATATATGGTTTATAGGGTCGGAAATGATTCATTGACTTAGAAAAATATTATTTTGTATTATAAAATCGGATTTTTTATATTAAAAAACTTCTTATTTTTTTTTAAACTAAAAATATTATAACTCGGCCAAAAGAGCATTAATTTTAAATCGGAAAACTGTTCTGTGCAAGATTTTCTACAGTTAATAAATCTGCATACTTCATTGAAAAATTTTGAAAATTCAATTTTTTATCAAAATCAAAAATTTTAATGATGTAACCCCCTTATAAAATTTTCCAAAAATGGCAAAAAAATCGATTTCTTTCGGACATGTCTAGAAAGATTCCCCTGTTGATGCTGATCAAGAATATATATGGTTTATGGGGTCGAAAATAATTCCTTCACTTAGAAAAATATTATTTTGTATTATAAAATCGGATAAATTATTAACTAACCCTTAAACTTAACCCTGTTCCCATCTATTATAAAAATCACACATTTGGAATTATTTTAAATTTGTATATTTGCAATTTAATGACTATTAAATATCTTTAAGCTTTTAGTTTGTTTCCTATTTGTTTTTATCGTCACCAGACATTTGGTTGAACGAGGCTAATAACTAGACACTTGAAGGGTGCACAATAATTTGTTGTATGTATAACGAGGCCGTTGCTAAGTCGTTTACAAAAAGAACGCGTAAAATTCGTCGGTGTTCAATAAATAATTATGTAGTTCGAGTTGCACATGACACGGCAAATGTGGGTGTGTTGTGTGTGTGTCAGAGTGCTGATTTCCCATATGTATGTATATATACAAGCCACTTTGGTTGCTGGTTTCCGCTGCCGCTGCTGACGCTGCTCAGTACAGGTTGATCTTCTTGAGTATTGTCTTGCGACACATGTGGCAGGTGCGCAGCGTCTCGGCGCAGTGAGAGCAGGCTCCATGGCCGCAGAGGAAGGCCACATCCCGCTTACGCTCCATGCAAATTCCGCAGAAGTGTGACTCCTCGAACTCCTGGACCTTGTTCTCCAGATAGCGCAGCAGATCGCCCGATGGCAGGCGTGCGGGGTCGCTGGGTGACGACGTGGACGTGGGCAGGGCTACGACCCGACCACTGACGGTCAGACGTCGCTCAATTACCACTCCGCAACGCAGACACTTCTTCATCCTGATGCCGCACTCCTCGCAAGCGATCTGGTGCTGGCACGGCTCGAATCGAACCAGTTGCAGGTTCTCATTGCACACGATGCACTCCTGGGGACCCGAAACGATCACCGGACTGGGACTAGGACCCGCCGCCCCAGCCTCCGAGGTGCCGGATGTAACCGGCGGCTTTGGTGCCTTCTTACGGGGCGCCACCTGCGGCGAAACGTTTTGCTGCACAGCATCCGAGTTGAGTTTCTTCACGCCTGGCGAGGCGGAAGGCGTGCTTGTAGCGGCTGCTGCACCTGCTGATGGCGATGGTGTGTCGTTGGGCTTTGGTATTAGATCCAGATGCTGGCGCTGCGGAGGCAGTGGCACTGCTGGCGCTGCTGCTGGTGCTGGGCCGGCTCCATTTGATTCCGCTTCCTCGCTGCCAGCGGCTGCCGACATGTCCAGTGCCTGCAGGTTCCTTGGCAGCGCCTCAGTTTCACCCGGTTGCTGGCCAAAGATAAGCTGTCGGATGTTGCGGTCCGTAATCCATTCGAAAATGCTCGCGTTGGCGTTGTTCAGCTCCACGCGGCAGCCGGCCCTCGAGAGATAGATCAGGATGCTGTACATGAGCCGATCTTCCGCCCGCACGCTCGTCTGCACCAGGCTCTGATAAAACTTGTGTATCTCGGGCGCCTCCTCCGGCTGCGGCTCGGCGGCTGACTGCAGATTGGACTTCTTAATCACGCACAGGTGCATGGCATTGTCGCCATCCTCGTCCTTGGCGTTCACGTCGCAGGAGAGCCGCACCAGGCGCTCGATCACACCGGCATGACCCTGCGAAACAGCCAGCAAGAAGGGCGTCTGCCTACGGTTGTTGCATATATCCAGCTCGGCCTGTCCCTCGGTGACCAGTGTCTCCACCACCTGAGCATGTCCGTTGAGGGCAGCCAAGTGAAGAGCGGCAAAGCCGTCGTCCTTGCGCACGTTGACCAGCTGACGGGAGAGCAAGAGGATGCGGCGGGCGGCCACCACATTACCCTTGAGCGCCGCATGGTGGAGCACGTTGAAGCCGCGATTGTTCTTCACCGTGAAGTCCAGGTTGGGAGCGTTGCAGAGTAACTCCACGACCTCCGTGTTCTCCTTGCCGATGGCGTCGTGCAGGGCAGTATCGCCATACGAGTCCTGGATATTCACATTGGCGTTGTGCTCCAACAGCTCGCGGACGCAGTGCGGCGTCTTCTTGTGCGCACAGATATGCAGGGCGGAGCAGTGGCTCGAGTTGAGGAAGTTCACCTCGGCGCCGTGCTGCAGCAGCACTCGCATTGTGGCCGGCTGATTGCCAAAGGCTGCGTAGTGCAGGGCAGAGTCGCCCTCTTTGTCCACGGCATTAACATTGGCCCCCTTGGAGATGAGGTAGCTGACCAGATCAACGTAGCCTTGGTGGGAGGCCACCTGGATGCAAGCCTTGCCGCCACTCATCACGTCCACCTGGCCGGGATTAACGTCCAGGTACTGGCGCACAAAGTCCAGATGCCCCTGGGCGGCCTCTCGCACCAGCTTGTCGGCCACAGAGCTGCCCGAGAGGCCGGATAGCGGGGTCATGACGTGATCGGCTCGTCGGTGACTCAGATCCATCATACTGTTGGAGCGCTCGGCAGCCGTGGCGAGGGGCGAACGCTCCAGCTTGACACATTTGGGATTGAGAGTCCACTCGAAGCCATCATCCAGCTGCTGGATGCGCAGGTCTCCGTCCGAGTAAACCTTCACCACCTTGCAGAGTTTACCTAGCGCCTGAAAGTTAGGTGTTGCTTGAGATTCTTCTTTGAGAGATAACATTTTCTACTCACATAACGCATGATTTCGATCCATTCGCCGTGGCCCTTCTGCAGCTGCTGGACCTTGTTCGCATCGTTGATGATGGTGACCAGATCGCCCACTCGAAACGATACAACCTTGACGAGGGCAGCGGGATGGAAGGTCCAGCGATTGGGACAGTTCTCGTACTGGACACTGGGGGGACAAAAATAATATTAGTAATTATCCTTCGCTTACTATGTCGTACAGACCGTATGTCGCCCTTGTCCGTGATGCGATGGACGGTGCCCAGTTTGGACAGATGCTCGACCATGCGCGGATTCCATCCGCCGTGGCCCTGTTGCAGCTTCATCAGGGCATCGACCTCGAGGCACACCTTGACGCGATCGCCCACAGAGAAGCTTGGCTTCACCATGGGCGCCACCGGCTGCAGCTCCTCCGGCTGCCCCAGCACTGGCATATGGTCCTTGTAGTAGTGTCCGCCGACAGTAGCCGCTATATATTTGAGGTCTACGTTGCCCTTATGCCCCAAACGATACACGTTCGTCGATCCTGTTACCCACGAGACGTTGGCTACACTGCGACACGATTCGTTGTCCCAGCCACGAATTTCCATTACCCGCCCCGTCTTGCCCTCGCCGCCGTCCTGTTCGCTCCACTCCCAGTCGGGACCGCGAACCACTTTGGCGCCCACAAAGATGCCGCGCAGTTGAATGCGCTTGGAGTTTTTCCGCGTTGGCACCCGCACTCCCAACGAATTGGGCGTGGTATAGCGTATGAAGGGATGCTCCAAATCGTGCAGATCCTCGGCGTAGCAGTAGGCGCAGAGATGGTAGTTGGCACACTGGGCGCACTTGAAGACTATGCCGGCAATGCCTGCCTTTGAGCAGCCATCACAGACGACATTCGAGTGTCGAACTCCTGCGGGTAATTGTAGAAAATACAAGGATTAGGATTAACAAATACAAAATTCAAACGGAATACTTAAAAAGTATTTGTATAAGAAAAGCCAAAAGATGTTTTAATAATACTTTTGGCAATTATGGGAATAAAATATAAAGTTAAGGATGTAAATTATAGAATTTTAAGAATTATAAAACAAATAAAATGAAAAATGTTTACTTACCAACTTGAGCATTATCCACAATTATCAGGTCGTACTGGTTTTGATAGCCCACTCGGTAGTTAGTCCGGTGTCCGGAATCCCAGTTAACCACCACAGTATTCTCCGGTGAGTGTGTCGATCCGCAACGCCCGATTTCGCAAACGGTTCCAACGTGACCTTCTCCGTCGTCTATTGTGTAAGGAATGAAACAAAGTTGGAGACGTTTTGAGTTTGTGGCGTTTGAGATATCTAACTGCAGCCAGGCTCCTCTTGGGGCTGAATTGTGGATTCACATCCGGTGGACGTCCGCCATGTGCAACGCATACGCAACGCTTCCTCCCCTCTTGAACAACACGCCGCGCCATGACTATAAATACCCGGAATCATTGACTGACTCGGGCTGAGGCTCCAAACGGATCTGGTTATGCACTCGGACTGGGACGTGCAGCTGCTCTTTAATTACCCAACCGACACACACGGGCGTGAAATCATTCTCGAGAGGGTGACATTTAATGTTAGCCTAGGGAAGCCGTCGTCTGCAAGTTTTTGTTTATGTCTATTTTCAACGCACCCTAGCCAGCTAACAGCCGGTTTTGGGGGCTAGAGGAGCCGGGCGAGCCAAAAATAAACTCTCCACACACTCTCCCCAATCAGCAGCAGCAGCAGCGGCAGGGCCTGCTGGAACTGTTCGCGTGGGGATCGCGGTGTGCCTAAAAATAAACACTCCAAAATGGAGACAAAATGGCACGCGCCCTTGCTGTGCCATGACAGCCAGACTTTTGCCGCAGGGCTCTTGGAGGAGTAGGGGAAATCCTGCTGTGACCTAATCTGTGGGCATGTGTGTGTAAACTCCGACCATGTGCAGCTGCAGTTGGAGCCTCTAGGCTCGTGTGGAACTGCATTTTTTACAGTTGCCAGTCAGCCGGCAACAGATAATTTTTATTCTAAGAAGCTGTCATTATTTGCTCGGAATCAAAGGCATATCAGTTACAGCTTTCATAATTTGTAGGCATAAACCTTACTTAAATTTCCAGTTAATAGAAAATATGGAAGCTTAAAGTTGTCATGGTTTAATCAAATTAAATCATTATGTTACGTGGGCTTAAACTTTCTTATATTAGTTATGGGAGCATTGGAAGTAAACTATTGTATTTATTGTAAATTTTATAAGGGAACTAAAGGAATATTTTTAAAGATAAATACCCTGCTCGATCGCATTCTCAAATGCTTTTCTCTATAACAAGTAATTCGCAATTTACGCAAACTAAGAGCATTTCCAGCTAAGGAAAATTAATTCAATTAAAAACTACGCAATATTATTGTTTGCATTAGAACTTATTTACCTGCCACGTAGGGTAGGGTGTGAGCTTGTATATATACGTAATACCGAGAATCGAACCACACACATATCCCCGCCATATATGTATGGACCATAAAACGAAGCGACGAAAGCAGAAGCAATTGGTAAGCGCAAGAATTTCGCTGTTGCTGCTTCTGCCGCCACAGTGAGTGTTGCTAAAAATAGCGAGGCGCGTCCTCTTTACATACAACAACGCCCCGAGCAGTGGCAACGGACACGGACACGGGCACACACCTCTCTCTCTCGTCCCGTCCCAATAGCCCTGCCTCCTCCTTCACTTTCTCCACCGCTCCCCGTGCACGGGGTGCCAATGCCAAGTGAGTTGAGTTTCGGGTGTACAGTGGAATATCGTTCAGAATAAAAGAAGTACATTTTATCTAATCGCATTGATCGGAAATATTCCCTTTTTTTTTTATAAATTTAGTTATTACAGGTGGATTTATCAGGTTATAGTATTTGTTTTAGATTTTTTACTTTCTTATAGATATTTATTTACAATATCTTTTGTAAACTTTTTAGTCTAGTTTGGATGATATTTTATTTTAAAAATTGGTTTGTCAAACCTTAAAAGGAATATGAAGTTTTAAGTTAAAATCAGTATTAAAGAAGGGATTATCATTCTATAAGAACAAACATGGAAAATTTAATTAGATTGCAACTTGAATTCTGTTATATTTTTGAATGGTAACGAAACTAAATTAAGCTAAGTATTTGTTTTATAAAAGAAAACTAAAGCTGAAAGTGTTAATTTTATGGAATTTTGTCTGTATTTCATAATTTGGTCTTCTGCTAATTTTTAACTTTCAACTGATTTAAGTGCAGAGCCAAATACAAAGAAATCATTACTAAACTTTGATGGTTTTAAATAGGCTTCTTAAAACAAACAACTTCAGCTGTAAAGTACTATAATTCCTGAACCATTTTTTGGCATGTATTAGTCATGTAGGAAAGGTAATCGTGATTTTTGATTACGCCTAATAGAAAGCCGCAAACCAAATTAGCCATATTTTTATCATTATCCCCGAACCAATCTCCACCGTGAATGATTTCAATCTATACCACACATATTGAATAAGACTCGTGTATAAACAGAGAGCTCCCGATGGCAAGTTAATTTCCTCTTTTACGAGAAGGAGCAGGGGAAGGTGAGTAAACAAAGTGTCTTGCTCGTGGCTTCCTCCGGCTGTTGTTCCTACCTTGATTCGACCAGATCCAATTGGGTCCACGCACTACTCGTATGCCGGGCGGAATGGAGGCTCGCATGGCGGTTAGTTGACTCAGCGCTGGTTGGGTATGGTGTGTGATTCAGTCTCAGCTCGATGCGATTTCGGTTGCCAATCGGTAGCCTTCGCCTGCCTGCAAGGAGGATATGTGACATTTGACATTAGTCGGTTGTGTCTGGGGTGTCGGGTCAGGAGGAGTTTGATGATGCGACCCGCGCGATGATAATTGGGTCAACTAAATGGCGCCCCAGTCAGCGCATGACTGAAGGGAGAAACCCGCACAAGATGCGCATATTTGTGGGAGGCTGTGTGAGGCATATGCTGTTCGAACAGAAGATATGGCCTTCTGCCACACGGTCTCCCGATCGCCAGTGCCAGTGCCACTGCCTCGGCTTCCGTTCCAGGGAGCTTGTGTCGTCGTCATGGTGCGGGTGCAGCCGCTCTCGCATGACGCATGCCGATAAGGCATATACACATATACATAAGTATGCTCTTTTTTCGGGAGGCTCCCTAGTAGCCAAAGCAGCAGCAGCTGATAAAGGCCAAATGTTGTGATTTTCCGTCTTTCCTCAACTGTTTCAGGGCTTTAGTTCTATTAATTGACCCGCATGTGTTGTTTACGAAAAGTATTTACGCGCACACACAGCCACATATCGCCTCTCACTCACATCGTCCAAATGCGGACAAGTATATATGCGGAATCGCCCTCGGTGTGTGCGCGTTGCGTAGATATGTGTGTGGAAAAATGATTGGGGCACAGCAGCAGCTTACCAATGCAATTGGGGAACACTGTCGCAAGTCCAGCAGTCGCTGCTGCTGCTCCAGCTGTTTGCAATTGAAAAAAACTTTAGATTCTGCTCCTCGGCCTTAATGGTGCATTTTATGCGCGCGTGCGCTTTTTATTGGGCATTTAGCGTTTCCTTTCGCCTAAAGTGCATGGGGACCGTTGCTACGGTGGCCAAATGGGGCATTATTCACTCGATCGCGCTCTATTTCCGCACTACGCTAACACACCGCCGACGCACGAATTGGCTCGAGGCTAGGGCACATAACAATTTCGATTTTAATTGGCCAAATTCACAATTTTGCTAGAACTAAAATAATACAACTTCAGTTTTGTCTTCTTCTTTCGTTAGGTATGGCCTAAAGGTGGCAGTGCAAATATACTAGGCTTATCGATACACTCGATTGGCGGCGGTGGAATCGCAATCGATAGTACACAACAAACCCGAACACATGTTAATTGTTGTCTTTTTTTGGCCGTAAAATATTAAATTGTAATTGTTTAACTAATGTTAAACTAGTTTACCCATTGCCCGAGTGGATGTAATGAAAAGGGCTGCCACAATGGACCAGTTACCATATCAAACAGCAGTAAAGCAGGGTGAGTCCTAGAGTGAAAAGTTTGAACCAATAATGATTTAACTTTTGTAGCCCAACTGGTGGAGAGGAATCCCCAATGCCAGGTGGATCCCATGCGGGTGTCCATGCACGAGGAGGGAGACATCATAGCCCTGGCCCAGCAAATCCAGAATGCCGACAAGCAGCTCAAAAACACTACCTGCCACAAGCTAGGCGTGATTATGGATCAGGTAAATAACTCTACCTTTGGGTTACCTGCCATGAAACCAAGTTGTTACTCCACAGATCAAAATGCTGCAAGCCCAAGCTATGGACATACTCAAGGAGTCCAATATTAACCGAGAACTGCATGGTGCCGCCTGCAACTTTAACAAAAAGCCCGGACAAATCTATCATCTGTATCAGAGGGCATCGGGTCAAAACTATTTCAGCATGCTATCGCCACAAGTGGGTTTTTGATTTTAAAATGGTACGGATCCTCTGCTAATCGTCCTTTTTTTTTAGGAATGGAATCATTCGGTGGACCAGACCTTCAAGGGCAGCTACAGACTGGAGTTCGATATGAGCTGGACACCTGTGGATAAGATCAAGGAGCAGGATGCGAAACTCAAGTGGACAGAGCAATGCATACAAAATGCCATGGACTCGACGATGGCCATTGATTTTAATTTAAGCAATAGCTAAATTTTCTAATGGAAGTTAAGCATAATAACCAAGGTAGAGATTAGTTTCAATTCATTTCAGTCTACTAATAAACACAATTTGTAGAGAAGTCAAGTCTCAGATTTTTAAATAAGTATTAGAAAATTGCACTCATTTAAAATGATTTTTAAAATACTTAAAATCTTTTTCGAAACGGTAATTTCTTGAACTTAAATTATGAATAAAAAATATCGTAAGCAAACTTTAAAAACATTGCATATAGATACTGAACGCATTCGACTAACTATCGATAGTTCGATTGCTGTTTTGTTTTCACTGCAACAGCTGATCGTACGTTTTTTAGTAAAACTCTGCGTATTTTTTGTTTGTTTTGTTTCATTTAGTGTTTCGTTCAGACATCTAAAATGTCCGCTCCCAAGAACGAGATGTACTACAGCCTGCTGGAGTGGTTCAAGACGCTCAACCTGAATGCGCCGCACTCGGATGCCGAGTCCCTGGCCGACGGAGTGGCGCTGGCCCAGGCGCTGAATCAGTTTGCCCCCGAATCCTTTACGGACTCGTGGCTGTCGAAGATCAAGGCCAGCGCCGTCGGCAGCAACTGGCGGCTGCGGATGAGCAACCTGAAGAAGGTTACCCAGTCGGTGTACGATTACTACAGCGAGGTTCTCAACTACTCGCTGAGCGACTTCGCGAAACCCGATCTGCAGCGCATCGCCGAGAAATGCGACCTGGGCGAGCTGGAGCGGCTGCTGCAGCTGGTCCTTGGGTGCGCCGTTAACTGTGCCAAGAAGCAGTCTTACATTACAGAGATAATGTGCCTGGAGGAGGAGCTGCAGGCGAACATCATGCGTGCCCTCCAAGAGCTGGAGTCCACACGCACCGCCTCCTCACCGGAGGGCGGAGTGGTCACGTCACTGTCGCGGAGTTCCATTAGCGGCATGTTGGACAGCAAGGCTGTGCAAGAGGAGCGCGACGCAATGGCGCAGAAGTGCTTCGAAACAGAGAAGAAAATGCTACTGCTCATCGACGAAAAGACCAATTTGCAGCAGGAATTGCAGAAGCTGCAGCAGGAGTTTGCGCGCCTTGAGCAACACTCTACGGTTATTGGCGACGATGGCGTCTCCTTAGGACCAGTGCAAACCGGATCCGTGCGCTACAACGAGCTGCGCCGGCAACTGGACCTTCTCAAGGAGGAGCTCATTCAGTCGGAGGGAGCACGCGAGGATCTGAAACTTAAGGCCCAGCAGCAGGACACCGATCTCCTGCATATGCAAATGCGCATCGATGAACTAATGGTGCGGAAATGTGGCACTCCTCCCTAAATACTTAATAACCATTGTAATTTTTTACAGAAAAGTTCGGCTGAGGTGACGACACTAAAGGACGAGGTCGACGTGTTGCGAGAGTCCAACGACAAGCTGAAGATCTGCGAGGCCCAGCTGGACACTTACAAGAAGAAGCTGGAGGACTACAACGACCTGAAGAAACAGGTTAAGATATTAGAGGAGCGCAGCGCCGATTATGTCCAGCAGAATGCCCAGTTCGAAGAGGAAGCTAAGCGATATGCCAACACCAAGGGCCAGGTGGAGCTGTTCAAGAAGGAGATCCAGGATCTGCATGCAAAGTTGGACAGCGAGAGCAGCAAGAACGTTAAGCTGGAGTTTGACAACAAGAACCTAGAGGGAAAGAACCTGGCGCTGCAGCGGGCCAAAGACAGTTTGCTTAAAGAAAGAGATAATCTTCGTGAGACCGTCGACGAGCTGAAGTGTGGACAATTGTCTTCGAATTCGGCCCTAACAGGCACCACAGTCTCCCGGGAGCTGCAGCCCTCGGCTGCGGTGGAGAAGCTACAACGCTTGGAGGCGGAGAACAAGGCATTGCGCGAGGGGCAGGGCGGTCAGACCGCACTGGCGGTGAGTCATCAAAGATAATACTACCCCGAGACACAATTTCTATAGAATTGTTATTGCAGCAACTTCTGGACGATGCCAACAAACGCTGCGAGAATTTGCGTGACCAACTAAAGACGGCCAATGAGCGCATTCTTTCCCTCTCACATGCCTCCCAAAGCGATGATCCCATCTTAAAAGAGTAAGTAATCATTTTTGTTTCTGGTCTGTAGTATTTTATACATCTATCCCAACAGGAGCGAGTTTGGCAAGCAGATCAAGCAGCTGATGGAACTAAATGAACAAAAGAGTAAGTTCCCAGAGAACAGTACAAATAATAGCTCTTTAATAATAAACATCATTGCAGCACTCCAACTAGAGGAATCGGTGACCCAAAGCACTTCGCTGCAGTGCAAGGTTACGCAGCTGGAAACGAATTTGGCTGCCCGAGAGCAGGAGATTCTGGCCTACGATGCCAAGTACCGCAAGTGTGTGGAAAAGGCCAAGGAGGTGATCAAGAGCATTGATCCCAGGATAGCCAGTGGTTAGTTCATAGAATAACATATAAGAATATCAGTTAATGTTTCCAATTCCAGCTCTCGACGCCAGTGTCTTGGAGAAGAGCGCTGCCGAGGTCGCTGAGGAGGAGCCCAAGCCCAAGATGAGCGTGATGGAGGAGCAGCTGATGACGTCGGCCTTCTACAGATTGGGTATCAATGCCCAGCGCGACGCAATAGACTCGAAGCTGGCCATCCTCATGGGCTCTGGCCAGACCTTTCTTGCCCGCCAGCGACAGTCGGCGCCCCGCAAATCCCTAAGTGCAATGAAATCAAAGTAAAGGGCAATGACCTGATGTATAGGCTAAGGACTTTTCAATACTGAGCATAGTTCTGATTGCAAATTTATATAATTAATATATATAATGAAACTATTTATTGGACAGTTGCATGGATCTATACTATATCGTATTTATAGGAAATCACAAAATTTAATTTACTAAAATATATCAATAAACCCCTTAAAATATTCACCATTAAAAATCACCTTGCTTTTATTGTAAATATCTTAGCTTTTAATATGTAGAATTAAATACATTCAACGCAGAGCACAAATAAATAAAAGGGTAGCTCTCCTCGACTCTGGGAACCCATCTTGGAGAGGAGAGAGTCTCTTGGGCATTGGCACAGCTAGGAAATGCAATTCGAAAGGGAGCTACACAGACGATCGGTAATAACAATAGGTTTTTCACACACTTGGCGATCTGTTCAAGTTGGGATGCCCTCCGCCGGTTGCCGGCTGGTTCGCATTCAACGAAACTGCTGCAGTCTACATACTTGGTACATATACATATAGGATCTCTGACCCCTGCCTGCCTGCTGCTTCACCATGGCCGCCACATGCTTTCGTCTTGCCCGACTGCGGCCGCCGCTGCCGCAGCCGCAGCCTGGGCCATGTAGTGGTACTCCTCCTCCTGGCGCTGCCTCAGCGCCTGGCGAGCAGCCGTGCTTGTCTGCGGCCGGGGACCTGCCTCCGGTGCCTCGTTCTCATTGGAGCCGATACCGCTCTCAGACCGGGGAGAGGATTGCTGCGTGGGCGGCATGGACTTGAGCTCCGATACCGATACCCCCGAGCTAACAGACGCTGCCACCGAAGAGGGCCTCTCCGACTGAGTTATGGGTAAGGGTGTTCCAGCCGTAGATGTTGCCATGCCAGAAACGTTGACTCCGGCGGAAGCGGCCACCGCCATGCTGTTGGCATAGGCCGCGGCGGCAGCGGCAGCCACATGGGCCGCTTCCAGGCTGCCGGGAAAACTGGGACTCAGCTTTCCCGCCAAGTGCGGCTGCACTCGTTGCAGCTCGATCAGGCGTTCAAAGTCCGTACGCGTGGCTATCGGATCCACCAGGGGCTGGGTACTCAGACCAAGAGCCGCCGCCAGTTGAACGTAGTGGGGCGGGAGGACCAGGACTCCATTGACGGAGTCGGGTTGCACTTGCGCCTTCAGCTGCTGCTTGTACTGCTCCAGGACATTGGCGCACACCTTGTTGCGATCCTCCTCGTAGCTCATCTCACCAGGAACGGCTACATCCTGCGGCGACTGCTGACTTTGAACCTGGGCCTGTTGCACCTGGATTGGAACCGGAGTGTGCGCCTGCGGCTGCTGTCCGCGATTGTTGTTCTCGTCCTGGGGCGCTGGCGTTGTGGGTAGAGCTCTTTGCTCCGCGGCCACCAGCTTCAGGCCCTTGCTATAGTCCACCGGATTCGAGTCCTGACTGCTGTAGTCAAGCGAATGCTCCTCCGGCTGTGACTTCTTAGTCTGATTAAGGTCGAAGCAGCTGCTGTTGCTGGGACTCTCGGAAAAGCTGGCTGTCGTGTGGGGGCAAATCTCCACATCAATCTCCGCGATGCACTGGTCCAAGTGTCGCAGCAGTCGGGCCTTGGAGCCCGGCTCCGCCAACGTGGGCATAGTGCCCTGGGGCGGTGGTTCCGGGGTGGCCAGATACCGAGCAACCTCGCGGGCGCAGTCCGTATAGCCGGCTCGGTATTTGTTTACAGCTAAAAAGGGAATACATTTCGTTAATTTCAAATTAGAAAAATAAAATATATACGAATAAGCAAATTTAGGACAAATTTATTACTTACAAGGATCATCGAGATTGCGATGCCTCTGGAAGTGACGCACGGTCAACTCTAGGATGTCCGCCTTCTCCAGCTTGGTGTGCTTCGCCTGGCCCTCGCCGTTCTTGCCATTCTGGCTCTTGGTGGACTCAAGGATGAGGGCCTTCAGGATGGCCAGGCTCTGATTGATGCGCGCCCGCCGTCGCTTCTCCATGAGTGGTTTGTTTGTCCGCTTGCTGATGTCCTGCGACGAGGTCACATTCTGCGTCGAGCTGACCAGCCCGATGGACTTTATGCCGCTGCCATTGGTTGAGCCGGCGGCTGTGAATCCGATGCCTGACCAAAAACGAGCCACAAATATAAATTAGTTTGAATTCAATTAACAGTATCGAGGACCTTCAGGTGGGATTCCCAGAAGAAGCAAGGGTTTTGGTTTAACTCAAGTATGGTTTTGGCCTTAATTGATTTATGGAATTATAATGAGTTTAGTTGTTGGCTAACACTAAGTTCAAATTTTGTTTTAAAACTTTTAAAAGGATAAAGAACAATACAACATAAAGGGAATATAAAACAGTCAGAAATTCTAGATTAATATTATGAAAAACAAAACACTATATTGGTAGTAATATTTTAATTTCTTTTAAATTATATTTAAGATTTTAAGTATTAATCTCATAGAGTCGGTTTGACTGCTGACTTATTTTTGTATTTTATTTATTAAACGTATTTTTGAAGCTTTCACTTGTCACATGCTCTTTTCCCACAGGTGTCTTTCAATTTTAAAGGCCAGAAATGTTGTTTATTATTCAAGCTAAGCCTTGTATAACTTTTGGTGATAAATTTGTAAATATATAGATATATATTATAAATTTTTTATATTTTTTAAAATGTTATTTGACTTGGATTGAATTATTATTAACACAGAACTATGTGCATTTTTATTTAAACTCTTGGCTTGTTCTTCCACTAATTTAATTATTTGTAGTTTTTATTCACGAATATCTAAACGCTCTTGTTCCAAATAAAGGCGTTAAACACAACTTTACATAACATTCATTTTTAAGGCAAACAAATAAGCAGAGGGCAATAATGTTTTATTTGTAAGTTATTTAAAAACATGTATTTTACCAGATGTTGATTTATTTTTCGAGTAATCCTTATCACGTTTTGCTGTCATTGTCTCATTTTAGCGGAATTCACAAGAATTCGTCGGCCGTTAGCAGGAAATAAAGGCCCAGGTAAGGCTTTTAGTATTTTTTATTAATATTTGTATATAATATAATAATGAATTCCTTTTAAAGACCGCGTCAAAAATTACGTATTTTTCTTGAGACAATGTGTGACGATTTAGCGGCCGAGCGATAAAGGACCTGCGTCCGCACAGTTCGAGGATTCACGGCAAACTGAAGGCGAGTGCCAAAAACAACTGCGACTTTTCACTTCGGCTTTGGGTTTCTTCGATTTTCCGCTGCCGCGTGCGCCTGGCTTGTGCGAAATTTCCCGACTGAATCGCTTGGTTAGCTCATGTTGCTGCCACCTCTGCCGCTGCTGATGTTGCTGCTAATGTTGCTGCTGGCTGTGGCACGAGCCGCCGTCCTCGTCGTTGTCGTCGTCGTGTGGCGCAGCAACCAAAGCAGATTGGAGTCAACCGACAATAAAAGCAACAACAACAAAAACAGCAACAAAAACAATAGCAACACCAATCAGCAGGAGCAGCAGCAACACCAACAATGGCCAGGGATGTGGCAGCAACAGCAGCAGCAGCAGCAACGCCTGGCTGCCTGCCACGTTAATGGTGGTTGTGGTAATGGTTGCCCCACCGACCTCCGCACACACATAACGCACACACACAGTCGGCGAGAGCTTAACGACGCAGCGGAGGCATGTTGCCAGTGGGCGGTGGGTGGTCATGATGGCATGGTGGTGGCATTGGTGGCGCGCTGGCTGCGGCAAATGTCAGGCAGCCCGAGCGACAAGCCGGAGCGACGTGCCGCCACTTGGACGGACGGCGTGACCATGTCTGGCTTTAGCACACACACACACAGCCACTCAAACACTGACACAGTCGTAGACACACGAACCCACACAGGCATACAAATCAATTCGCTTAGGCGCAAATACCAAATTACCCAGCAGACATGGCGGATGAGTGATTTTTGTGGGACTTAAAAACGAAGCATACTTTTTGGGGATAAGTCGGAGAGAGCCCTTTTTTTTAGTAAGTTGAAGATGGAAGAGTTTTATATTAAACTTAAAATAACTTTTTTTCTAATCTTTTTAATTAATCTAATCTAATTAATCTTTTAATTAGTATTTAAGATATGAACCATTTTTAAGAGACTGCAGGGCCCTGGTGTAATATAAAGCAAAAACGGATGAATTTTTATAAATATAGCCTTAAATTGAAAACATGCTCTATTTTATTTATTATTTTAACCTATTTTATTAATAATCTTGCTTTTTATTTTTGGTAAAATATAAATAAGCCCCGAATTTGTTGGTAAATATCTTATTTGCTTAATTTATGGTCAAATTTTGTGATAAAAATAAATTCTAACTTTTTAATTTATGCTTAAAAAAAAAAAAACTAAAGTTAGCCCAGATCTTTTGCTCATTGGGTGGATCTCTGCGTCAGCGGCGTGGCGAGGCGGGTCTGTGGCCTGCGGGCGACGAAGCAACGCCTCCGACCGACTGACTACGGGTCGTGCGGGGTCAGTGGGGATTGGGAATGGGATTGGGACTGGGTGTGAGTGTGGGTTTTGGGTTTGCGTTAGGGATCCCAGCGGCGGCGGTGGTGTGCGGGTGTGTTTGCTGTCGCTGACTTTGCCATTCGGCTGCCCGCATCGAAATCATAACACCAACGAGGCGAAACTTCTGCGGCGCGGCAGTCGTGGTGCAAATAATAAGCCAGGCCAGGCGACAACGCGGGGAGCCAGGCTGAAATTGGGAAGCCCAGGGAGCAGTGTCGGCAGCCAGACGAAGACAACTGTGACAGTGGCAGTAGAAAGGACTATTAGATAAATACGCTCGATGGTGGGGCACTGAGCTTGGGCGGTGGCAATATCGTGGCAACAAAGTTGATGGCTACAAATTGCAGTGGATGTGGCCCCCCAGCCGGGGCTTAACAAGGTGCGCCACGCACAACCACCAACGGCCAAACAGGCAACAACAAGTGCCCCAAACTGCGTGATAAACAATATGGAAATTTCACATTGCTGCAGAGGAGTCAGCCAGTCAGCCAGCCAGCCGTCCCACATGTGGCGGATTCACACAGGACTCCGTCACTTACATCCAAAAACCAATCGAATTTGTACATCCCATAATGCGTCACAAGGCTGGCAGGATATTCGGAGCTTGGCTTAACATCTTTCACGACGGATGAGTGGCATTTACTGCCGCATTGAACACAGGACGATATATCATA